CTTCCCTGTAAGTGCATGGATATTATCCTGTCACTTATAGCATTGTACCTCATGACTGATCTGGATGGTCTTTTTGACGATGAATGCAACACCATTCCTCTTCAATTTGTCATTCCCTGCATAGAAACCATGTGGTTGTCAGATTCAGAATGGCCAATACCAGTCCATTTCAGCTCACTAATGCCTAAGACATCGATGTTGATGCATTCCATTTCATTTTTGACAACTTCCAGTTTTCCCAGATTCATACTGCGTACATTTCATGTTCCGATTTTCAGTGGATGTTTACAGCTGTTTCTCTTCATTTTGATTTGTGGCCCATTAGCAAATGAAGGTTCTGTGAGCTTTTCTCTACTTGGAGGAGGCATTTTTTTTTTTTTCCCCAGTCACATTTTGAGTGCCTTCCCACCTTCCCGTCCTGTATCTGACAGTGTTTCTCTGGTATTCATAGAGTTTTCAGTGACTAGCGATTCGGAAGTAGTTGTCACTCTTTCTTCCTAGTCTGTTTTTGTTTGGAAGCTCAACTGAAACCTGTCCACCATGGGTGACCCTGCTGGTTATTTAAAATACCGGCGACATAGCCTTCAGAATCACAGCAAGTCAAACCACCACAGCACGACAGACAGATGAGTGGTGGTTGTGTGGTCGCTGTAAAACAGGAATCTCCTTGCGCTACGCCCCTTAAGTCCGGCTCAAAGGTGGGATTTCCGTCCTCAGATGTCGTGGATGTTGCTTCAGTCAAGAGGCGGAAGCACAGCAGGGGCGACTGTTACTTGGCTATATTTCCGCAGTTTCTGTTTCCATGAGCCACAGGTATGTTTCTAAAATGTGTATATGTTTTCCCATCTCTAAAGCTGTTCACGGACTCTCAGGATGGCTGCAGCATGTTCTTTCCAATGCCACTTCTTGTCAGTTAAGTTATCTCCTCTTTTGCCCCATCTATTCAACTTTTTCCCCAGTAAACACTCAGTCCACTTTTCTATCCCTTCCTCTTGAGCTCCGAGTTAAAGGACCATTCTGTGTGACTGTCACATCCGGATTTCTGTATCCGTGCTGCAGAGAGTCTGCACAGTCCTTCTATCTAGTTTACCATCTGTCTCCAACTTCTGGTTGTTTTTCTAAATGTCTATGACAAAGAATGGGTAAAACAAAAAAACCTGAAAACTAAAATTTGTAAATCTAGTTAGTTTTTAGTGGCTGGAGCATTAGAGGAGCCCTGGCTGCACAGTGGTTGAGCGCTTGGCTGCTAACTGAAAGAGGGTCTGCTTCTGCAAAGATTTGTTGTTGATAAGTGCCATCAAGTTAATTCCAAATCAGAGTGACACTGTATAGCATGTCCAATGAGTGACTAATGGGTATATACCACCAACCTTGCAGTTAATAGTCCAGTACTTATCCTACAGTGCCACCCCAGGTCTCCTCTACAAAGATTTATAGCTTTGAAATTGTTTGGAATAGTTCTACTCTGTCTCACAGAGTTTTTATGAGTCTGAATTTACTGCATAACAGTGGGTTTGGGTTTAGTTTGTTGTGTGTTTTTGGAGCACTCAGATGTTTGGAAGCTTATTACACTGATGATGATTATTTAAGTTTTTAGTTAAATGATTCATTTTCCTCTTAAGATTAGGAAATTAGGATCTAATTAGGAAATTTTCATGGTTTTGGTGTTCTCAAACCCAACATTATTTCCTTTTACAAACTTGGTAAGAGCTTATATTTACATAAGGATGCTTTATGATGGATATTTATGATGGATAAGTGGTTGAATTTTTCTTACTGCTCACATGCACATTCAAATTTTATTTCCTCTAGATTCTAAAATTTAAAGCTTTACACATAAAAATTAAGAAAATATAGACTTTATTAAGAAGCAAAAAATAAAAGCTATGCTTATCTTAACCACCTAGAGTTATATGACATTTTGTTAGATTTCTTTCCAGTTTTTTGGGTTTTTTTTTGCCATTTGTATATTTTATAGGTTTATTTTCAATGGCCAATAAAGAGTTCTGTGTCTATCATTTTCACTTAGATTCTTATCTTGAAGCTTTCCATATTTTTAAGACACTTTCATAAACAGTTTCTCGTGGCTATTTATTACCCTGTCCCATGAAACACTCAAGTTCTGGAGATTAAAGTTATTCATTTTTTTTGGTATTAAAAACACCTTTTTATTAAGATCTGTGTCTGCATTTCTGGTTTGTATTTTGTTTTTTTATTTGTTTGCTTTTTAACCTTAAAATAGATTCATAAAGTAGAATTTTTGAGTAAAATGACCTGTATATTTTTAAGACTTTTAGCACACATATAGTAAAATTGATTCCAATGGTGATAGTACCAATTTCCACTCACATTTGCTACTTATGGCAAGGAAAAATATACAAATAAATAAGAAAAAAGAGCAATATTTAAAATGAGTTAAATTTTACTAAAATGAAAATTAAAATACCATTTAAATATATATGAATGGTATTAAATACCATTAGAAATTCAAATTATAATATGAAAGTAAGATTTAAAAGTATTCAAAGTTATAATACTTTCAAATTAGGATAAACTTAATAAGGGTATGTAGGAACTATACAATTTTTAAAAAATAAAAATTGAAAAAAATATTTACTCATGTAATATTTCTGAATGTTTAGCTCATTCGGTATGTCTTTGTACTTTTTTGGGATATACTTCCAAAATGTGTTGATTGCATCACATTTAACTAAATCATCTTTGCTGACACATATCTTATATAGAAGACAAACAAAGTATTTTAATGAATACTCTGATTTATTACACAGTTACTCATCTAATCCTTTCTACAGCCCTAGTATCTAAGCAAAAGAGTTATGCTGAATTCACAGATGAGAAAACCAAGACTAAGAGATGGAATAAATTGTCCTGGGTCACACTAGAAAATGTTTTACTTTAGTTCATTTTATCTGTAAGCTATATCCATTTGACAGTAATGGCTTACATTTAGAACATGAATGTTTGTCTCATTTTCAACTGTATATAGCGTTCTTTTTCCAACAGATGAGCCCACCGATACTATTCCACGAAGTTGCCAACTTACAACAGATGTTCCACAAGTTACACAGCTGCTAAATATGACCAAACTGCGCCAAACTGAAATAAAATTTGGAGGTCATCCGCTACGTTCAGCAGAATCAGGTATGCACTCAGGCACCTGAGTTATCTGCATTTTTGTTTGTAAAATCAAAGAAAGAAAATGCAAGCTTGAAAAAAATGCTTTAAATCTTGATATTAAGTAGTATTAGCCTGTATCAGTGATAAATCCTTATTAATATAAATTTCTTTCTAGATTTTAGATTTATTTTTAAGTATTTTTTTGAATATAATGAATCAATGCATCCTTGATTGTTCTCCTTTTCCTATATGTTTCCTTTTTCGGGAACTTTTTATTATGAATTGAATAAATACAATTTACATCAGTTTTACATTCAACACACTACACTTCATCTCATATCAGTTTTTTTTTTTTTTAAGTTTTTATTATGAATTATGTGATAGTTTACATGGGAGAACATCAGCTTTACATTCATTCTGTCTTATATTGTTTCATTGCCATGATTACAATCCCCTCCATACATCATCATCCATCCAAATGGTATACCCTGTAAGCCTGCCCCTAGGTCGTCAGATAGCTCCCCACTCATTTTGATGGTGCTCACAGCTATGCCACTCGCCTCTGTACAGCTCCAGTTACCAGAAGAGCTGAAGCTTCAATGGAGGTGTATATGAGTGGGAGCTGGCCATGCCTCTGGTCACCAAGGGAATGTGGGTAAAAAGAAAAAATGTGTTCCTTTTCTCCACATGTCTTCAGTATGTTTCTGCAATGCCAATATGCTGTCTTGTCTCTGAAGCTGCTCACAAAAGTTTAAGATGGCCGCACCATGTCTGATCAGCTGGCCCAGGTCACTAGTCTGTTTCCATTTTTTGCCCTGTCTGTTCAGCTTTCTCTCCACTTCTCTCTCCCTTTATCTTTAGCTCAAGGTTCCAGGATTATTACCTGCATCTGTTTGCTTTGGCTTTACTTATTTTTGTTGTTAAGTGCCGTTGAGTTGATTCCAACTCATAGCAACCCTGTATAGGGTTTCCAAGGAGAGATTGGTAGGTCTGATCCATCAACCTTGTAATTAGCAGTCCAGTGCTTATCCTACAACGCCATACCAGGACTCCTTTATCTTAGTTGTAGAGGGTCTGTATGGGTTTACTGCTTAGTCCGCCTGCTTGCTGCCTTTCTTCCTTTTCGTATATATTTCTAAGCCCCCCAGGTATGTCTCCCACACATGCTTCCTCCTCCATCCTATTGATGCTACTTCCATTGTTCTAGTTTCAGCCATCACTCTTCTGCCAAGCATTAGCCTCCCCAGTTAATTTCCTAAATTGCTGTCAGAGTTATCTTTTTGTAATAAAAATGTGGTTACATTACTCTTTGATAAAATAATTTTTTAATGCCTTTTCTGCTGTCTAGATAAAATGAAACACCTTTGGGAAGTCACATAAAGCCAGCCCACCCTAATCTAAACCTACTCTTTTTTCTTCTTCATAAAGCTTTCCTCTGTGGGCTTTCTTGTGTTCAGGTCTTGAAAAAGTTCATCTGTTGACCTAAAATGCCCTTTCTTATAGTTTGTGCATGGAAAAACTCCTGAGTCATTATTTCAGTATCCAAATCAAATGTCACCTATTCTCTGTTGTTGTTGTTGTTGAGTGCTTTCGAGTCACTTGCAACTCATATAGTCCCTTGCAACGCATAGGGTTTCCAAGGAGTGACTCGTGAGTTTGAACCAACGACCTTGCTGTTCAATTAGACCTGTGGTTCAGTGCTTATCCTACAGCATCACACCAGAACTATGTAGCCATCCCTAATTCTAACAAATACTATGCTCCTCTTCTCATAACTCTTTTCCCTCTCCTCTTTTTTGCAATACTTTGACATGTCTGCATCTCCAAGACAGTGTGACTTCTTCACAAGAGGCCTCTGTACCTCCTTCTTCTACATTCCTAACACCTAACACTGTACTTGCCATATTCCAGGCCAGGGACTGCAAATGCAGATCAGCTTAGAGGCCAGAAGATAACATAAATGAGTAGAGTGGGCTGGATGCCTGAAGATTGAACTTATGAAACCATTTTCTGCTTCAACAGGGAATCTCATTGCAGGGGTGGAACAGTACTTCAGAGAAGTTCATTTCTTCTGCTCAAACAGCAATTCACACAGCTCAGCATATTCGGTAGTGCATGGCAGTTAGCACTCAGACCCAGTGAAGATTCAGTAGGGAATGGTGAGTGGTGGGGCTGCTGTAAACTAGAGAGCTCATGCTCGCTCAAGGAGGAATAACTGCAATTCCGTTCTGGCCAATTATTGCCTCGTGCAAACACAGGTCCAGCCTCACCAGATCTTCCGCTTTTTCAAGAGGAACTGAATATCTGAATTTTTTTGATGACTTTCCCAATTTAAAAATGTTATATAATAGGTTTGAAAACACTTATGGGCCAAACAGAACATTCCGAGGCTACCGATTTTTTTATTATCTGTAGTAGATTCTTGTTGCTTTTGCATAGTACTTACAAATCAGGAACCCTTAATGTATAGTTGAGTGTTTCTCAACCCTCTGAGCATTAGAATCAACTAGGATACCTTAAAAATACCTGATGTTTCAAACAAACAAACAAACCTGCCATCACTGCTCCCTCACAGAAAGTGATTTCATTGGTCTGTGATTTTTGCTTTTGTTTTAACTCCCGGGTTGTTCTTTAGTGCTGTCCAGTCGCTTCCAACTCATAGCAACCCTTTTTTAGGGTTTCTGAGAAGCTGCCAACATTGTAGTTAGTAGTCTAGTGCGTATCCTACAGCGCCATCCCAGAACTACTGTTGTTGTTGTTAAGTGCCGTCTAGTCAGATTCAACTCATAGCAACCCTGTGAGGGTTTCCAAGGAGTGGTTGGTGGGTTTGAACTATCATCTTTTGGTTCAAACCAACCTTGCAGTTCATTGCTTATCCTACAGCACCATACTACAACAGCAGTGTACCATCAAGATGGAGAACCAGAGAACAAACCAGATGGCAGATCGGGTGGATGTGTAGTAAAGAGCTCTGCCAACAACAACACAGAATACCTGACCAAGCAAGTTCAGGGGATGGTCCCAGAACTCTGAACCAAATATGAAGGAATATTTAGAAGGTTGGAAGGCTCACAGCTGGGAGAATTTGTGGCAGAAGCAAGAAAT